CATGGAAGTCACCATGTCTGCCTCTTGTGCTCTATAGGCTAAATACTCTGTCCCCTCTTGTTGGAGGCCTCGAATTTACTAAAAAGTTTGGTTGTCTCTGTGGCTGCCATTTGCCGGTCTCCTTCAGAGTCGCGACTGATATTTGTAATGTCACCTTCGGCCCATCGCATCCTACGATCCAGGTCGTCCAACCTTTGCACTAGGTTGGTTCTTCAATCAAGCACCGTGTCACTACCCCAATCTCCTCCGTAGGATGTCGTGATGGCACTTAATCTCTAAAACTAGGTAAGCCTAACATACATGAAGAACTAACGTAAATAATAATAAAACTTCCAATTAAACCAACAACTATCATAAAAGGACTCCACATTACAACTAAAAAATAACACTCAAAATTTGGTAAGACTAAGTCATAAGCTCTACATGAGTATACTGAAACATCCTTAATATATCAATATCTATAATAAGAGTATGCAATAGAAACTAAGACAGAGGGTGACTTTGAGGCCTGCGAACGCCGTCAGGTATACCTTAAACTCTCCGATCTAAAGCTCAACTCACGGATGTCTAGCCTGGTATGAAGTACCTGGATATGCACAAAAAGATGTGCAGAAGAGTAGTATGAGTACACCATAATGGCACCAAGTAAGTACCAAGCCTAACCTCGGTAGAGTAGTGATGAGGTCTGGCCAAGACACCTACTAGAATAAACAAAGAAGTTGAACAGGTGTGGTACTATACAATAATGAAATAAGGAAATGATACAATAAAGAAATACAACAAAATAAAACTACACTGAAATTAAGGCAACAAAGGCATCAAAGGAGGAATACATAATAAGAATACAAAGGAAACAATGCAGATAGAACATAGGTGATGTAAATGAAAGGTAACAACAAGAATCACGTCCGAGGTACCGCCTCGTATATCATTTCACAAACACAATCATAATCTTTCCTTATATCACTGTAGGAGCCTTAAATTTAGTTTTAAAAATCATTTTCCCGAAATAGCTACCCACGTTTTAGCCCATCTTATCACACTGCGTAGCTTCAAGTAGTTCCCGTACTAACAATACGCGTATCAAGCCTTCCTTATCTCACCGCATGCGTATCAACCTCTATCCTTAGACCATCGCATACATATCAATATCACAAATCGCACCTCAAGTGCCAATACCACAACTTGCTAAATAAGTCAACAATAATAATATTTCCACAATAAATAGCCCATGACTCAACCACATTGTGTACAAGAGTCTCAACAATAGTAACTGAAAGTGAATAGCTCACAAGTATGGTATTTCAACAATTTACAACATTTCCTCAATTTGATCACGACTTTTACAAGTTCAACACCAAAACCAAGAAATAACAACTTCAAAGTAGGTAACTCAACAGTTAAATATTTAACAAGGCAATAAGGAAATGGTAACTTCAACTAAGCATGTAAGGGCAAATAGCAAGTAAGAGATGGGATAAGCATTTGACAATGTCAAGTAAAGCATGTAAGGATGAATTAATGATGAAAAACTTAACATATTATGACAAAGCGATTAAAGGCATGAAAAGAAGCTAAATAGCCTAAATCGGCCAATTACCACATATAGCCCGTGTACCAACTCGCCACCTTGCGTACACGGCTTTCACGTACCACAATTAGCACAAACAACACCAATCCTAAGGGGTAATTCCCCCATACAAAGTTAGGCTAGATACTTACTTCAAGTACGCTAATTCAATCTACGAGTAAACCTTTTCCGCAAATATCTGACTCTGAACGGCTCGAATCTAGCCAAAATAACTTTATACCATAAATACAAATCATAAGAAACTAATTCGGATAATAAAGTTGCAATCTTTAAAGAAAAACAAAGAGTCAACTCAATAAGTTAAACCCGGGCCCGCATTTCGAAACCCAATCAAACTTATAAATTTCGAATACTCATCCAATAACGAGTCCAATCATACAAAAATTATTTAATTCCGACCTCAAATCGACCTTCAAATTCCCAAAATATAGCTTTTGAAATTTTCACAATTTTTTCCAAATTTTCCAACTCAAATTACTAATTAAATGGTAAAAACATAGATTCATGTATAATAGCCAAAACCGAGTTAGAATCACTTACCCCGATCAACTCCTGAAAATCTCTCTTAAAATCGCCCAAAAATTGAGCTCTCTAACTCAAAATATGGATAATGAAATAAAACCCTCGATTTCTCTATTTCTGCCCAGCGATTACCGCTTCTACGACTACTTTGTGTTTTTGCGACTCCGCACCTACGAAAATTCCATCGTAGGTGCAACTTCCACTTAAGCCCCGACATATCTGCTTCTGCAGACAAAAATGCGCATTTGCGCTTTCGCTCTTGTGGACAAGAAATGCTTCTACGCATACGCTCCTTTGGACAGTGTCCGCTTTTGCGACCACAAACCAAACTGGCCCAATCCATATCTACGACCAGTTCCTCCGCACCTGCTAGCTCGTAGATGCAGAAATCTCCTTGCATCTGCGGTCACAGACAAGCCCGCTCAAATATGCTTCTACGATGGCCCTCTCGTACTTGCGTGTACGCACCTACGGCCAAACCCACCGCAGGTGCGATGACACCAGAACTTCAGCAGCTCCAGCAATCATCTAAGTCCAATAATGATCTGATTTCAATCTGATTCACACCCGGACCCCCCAGACCCATCCGAATATACCAACAAGTTCCTAATACATATAACGGACCTACTCGAGGCCTCAAATCACATCAAACAACATCGATTATCAAATCGCAACCCAATTCAAACCTATGGAAACCATGAACATCCAACTTCTAAAAAATGTCAATTCATATCAAACTAACTCCGATTGACCTCAAATTTTGCATACAAATCATAAAATGACACAATGGACCTATTCCAACTTCAGGAATCGGAATCTGACCCTGATATTAATAAAGTCAACTCCCCATCAAACTCCTCAACCATCCAAACCTTAAACTTTCTAACTTTCACCAATTCAAGACAAAATGACCTACAGACCTCTAATCAATATCCGAACACGCTCCTAATTTCAAAATCACCATAGGAAGCTATCGGAACTGCCAAAACTCTATTCCAGAGTAGTCCACATAAAAGCCAAACTACGGTCAATCTTTTCAACTTAAGCCTCCAACTTTGTTACTAAATGTCCAATTTCACTCCGAAACTCACCCGAAACCAAAACCTACTACCCCGCCAAGCCACATAACCACAATATAACATGGAGGAGTCAATAAATAGGGAAACAAGGCTAAAATACTCAAAACAATCGGCCGGGTCGATACACGCCATGTTCACGATAGGTTGTATACGCTAACCGTCTCTTCAAAGGCCGCAATGCAGTTCCCATGATTTACCATGGTCAGAAATGATGGTAATGGAAATGTGTTCCCTCATCCGATATCGAGCCTAGGCTTTGATACCAACTGTTACGTAACGCTTTTAAGAGATTCCTTGAAAGGGCGACGTAAGGGCGACGTAAGGCTAAGCAACCGATGTCCGTGCGATTATTGTCTGCCAACTGGGGTCCCCTCTATACGCTAGACGAGACTGTCAATTCCGTACGGGAAAACTAATGTCAAGAAAAATTGAGAGAACAAAAAAGAGAATGAAAATGAAAGAAAGTTTGATTGCTTTAATGAAAGCTATTACAGAAAGGTCAAACGGTGTCGAGGGGGAGAGACACAAATATAGAGAATGATTTGCTTGATCTCGCCTAATAGTGCTTAAAAAAATTAAACCAAAGTTACAGGACTTGACCTAACTAAGGTAGAGAGACATAATGGAAATACAGGAAGTAAAACTACTTTATATTTATAATAAAAATGACTTAGATTCCTACAAGGTAGAAGCAGGTCCATTGGCAGCAACCTTGTCTTTAGCATTAGAATATGCGCGCGCGGCGCTATTGGCATCTGCCTGTAGCTGGGCTCTGGCTAGGGCTATCGATGGGGCGACATAGGTACAGTTACGCTTGTCACTTAGTGCGGCCAATACCACGGGGCCGTCCAAGGTGCTAGGTGTTGGAGGGCTTTCTAGAACACCATGGGACGCGTCCAAAGGGTCATGGGGCATGACCGAAATGCTGCTCGTGACATAACGCATGCCAAAGAAAATATATCTAACACATTATCATAAATTCACTTATTTTAGAGTGATTGTCAAACTACTTTAATCCTTTTTCTTAGTTTGTCACGAAATGCATAAATAATAAATTTTTATTTAAAAAAATAAAAACTTAGAAACCAATATTGGCACGTTTTTATCCATTCATACTTTTTTATGCCTCATTTATTTGCACTTAATGGAGGCGTGAATTTTAATCATTCAGTTCTTAGACATTAAATGTGTTTGTTTTTTTACTTCACAACCACTTAATGGGTCTAAATAGGTCTATTTGATTATTTCATTAAAATGTTATTATCCACGTTCATTACTAACTGCCGCCACTACTTACCATTATCAACTAGCACCACAACCACCACCATCCTCAACCACAGCTGCCACCACTATCACCACCCACCACCATCATTCTCAATCATAACTACACACTCACCCACATCAACTACCACCACCAACCACTCCATCACTATCAATAATTATAGCCGGCACCACCACCACCACCACTACCCACCATTATTAACTAACACCACCTACCACTACCATCCTCAACCATAATCACTATCGCTACCAATCATCACTAGTTACTACCCAAAATATTAGATTAATTAATATTTTTATTTGAATTTATGTTTATTAATTTTAAAAAAAAAATTAATTTTATATATTCAGATATTTAAAAAACAAATAATTTTAATTATTTAATATTTAGATATTAAAATACATATTATTATTTTAATTCAGATATTTTAATCTTAATACACGTCTTGGTACCAAAATATGTATTCAAAAGATAGGGATCAATTTTCAAGTTTATCTAAAAGATTATATCAAAATAAACACTACACGTACATATGTCCAATTCGGCTGGGCGCATTCTGCCAGAACGCAAACGTCGCCTTTTTCCGCAGACGTGTCGATGATTCGGACGCTTCAAGCTCGTCTGGCAACTCTCTCCAAAGCTTCAGTAAATCTCTCTCTCTCTCTCCTTTCCCCAAGTCCCAACACGCCGTTCTTCAACTATGTCATGCATAGTTATTATTAAGGTGAGATTGTTTTCAGTTTCTTCAGGTATCGTTGGCATCACTGTCCCAAAGCTTCTCCAGAAACCATGGAAGGTACTTACTCTATTTCATTTTTCTTCAAACGTTCATTTGGGTTAATTTGCAAATTTGTGTTACGGACCTTTAGGTTAATTTAATCGTGGGCTCACTCTTTCTTTATTGACACTGTTAAATTAAGTTCTGATTTACTAACTAGTCTAGTATATGTTTGTTCTTGTAGGTTTAATATCTTGTCAAAATAAAATTGAAAAAGAAAACGAAGTGATTTTGGCAGTCGGGTCTGTTGAAGTTTGGCAAAATGCCAAAGTCCCACATTGGTTGGGAGTTAAGTTTGGGGGGGATTTTTCCCCTATAAAAGAAGGCCTAATGTTTAGGATTGAAACACACCTCTCATTTGCCTTCTCATCTGTTTAAGGCATTTGTATCTTCTCTCTTTAGTATTATTTCACTTGTATTTTTGGAGTGGAATAAAATATTTGGTTGTGTCCGAGGAGTAGGCAAAATTAGCCGAACCTCGTAAATTCTGGTGTTCCCTTTATTATTGCTTTATTGTCTTATTTATTATTTGGTGGTTGTCATAATTTTTGGTATAATAGTTGTGACTTATTCACACTCTATACATTTGGCTTCCGCAACAGGGTCTTGTAATGCCTCATTAGTCATGAAATGCACTTATTAGCTCAGTCCACTCCACATTTTTAATTGACATTCGGTGTTTATCACTATCTAACTAATAGCAAATCGCCTGGTGTTAAGTCTGATGGTAGACTTTTATCCCATTGGAGGAGAAACATGTAATGTTGCGTTAAACATTTAGTAATGTCATGTAAAAAGAAGGTTTTAATTTTTAGGTTTTGGAGTGGAGAGTAGGGGACAACATTGGTCAGAAACATCACCCGTGGAACAAACTACCTGATAAGAAATAGACTTTGGACTTAATTTAACCCTGAAAGCTAGCTTATGAGGTGAGAATTATCCAAGATCATGTGAGGAGACCAAATTCCCATCCCACAACTGATGTGAGACAAACTTACCCGATTTATGGGAAGACTGATCCTTATGTTTTCTATAAGGTTTAAAATGATTACTTTCTGCAATTTGACTATAGTGGGAGTCGAACCCACAACCTCTTGAATCCAGTGTCAAACGTGCTAATCATGATGATGCTTATATTATGTTGCATTACCTTTGTCCCTATTCCGTGAAATGTCTGTGNAAAAAAACAACCTAGAAATTAAATTTAAGTCATGTCTCCCTCTTTCTAGATATGTTTGTATTTTCCTCTACTTTTGTTTCCCTCATTAAAGTTCTATACCTGCTCCCTTGCCCCAATCCACACCTGCACACCTAATTCGAGAGATAATTATTCCATGTGCATAATTTTATAAATATATACAGCTCAAATATACGTGTGGCTGGAACTGGGGTAGTGTGCAGTCAGGTTGCAGTGTCGGCAAATACTAACACACATAATGGGATTAGGACTGTGTGTTCAGCTGCAGGTGCGTCATTGGATCTCATGAGCAATTTCTTGTATATTTGATTGTTAAATCTATGAAGTTCAGTGGAGTCCATTCTGATGATGCATTATAGGCAATGGTCGAACACACGAATCATGGCCATCAAAATATTAGAGGGAACAAGTTTTGAGCAAAGGATGAAGGTAATCTTATTATTATATAAATAAACAGTGACAAAGCAATTTAAACAGGCTTTAAAGAAAAGAGGGTAATGTCCATTTTGTCGAACAATATTAAAATTCCTATAAAAGCGCATGCTTATGTATTTTTAGAATATGGTACACTAGACGCACTTTTGAGTGGTTAGGATATTAGTTTTAGTTATTAGGTCCTGTGTTGTGCTTAATTTCGTCACATTACATGCAGATCTGTCAGCAGATAATATAAACCTTACTTATGTTAAGTCCGAGAATTTAAGCTGACATTGGATGAGCTAATAGTTATTAACAGTTCTAATGACTTGTCGTTGATCGTTGATTATAACTTCTTGGGTGAGGATGGCGATAAGTTGGGGCTGGTGGGTTAAGTCTTTCCCTGGAAAACTTTTGCCCTGCCTTGCCCTGGCCTGTTTAAGCTGTGCCCCACTTTCCCGCTGCTTGTCTCTTTCATTTATTTATTTTTCTAAATTTTTCCTATCAAAATTAAATATTTTTTTCATTTTTATCCTTAAGCATCATCTCCAATTTCTTTAATTTTCTAATTTATTAGTTTCTGATTTTGTGTTCTTTTCTAATCTCAATTGCAACACGATATTAGTGAGACTGTAGGCTTTCTTCCTCTCTTTGTGGAATAACCCATGTTTTTTTTGACAAAACAAAGATAATATATTAAACATTACGGAGTACCATCAGTTACATCATTAAGGAAACTACAAGCCTTGAGGACATTCAAATTCCCCATCTCGGCCAAACTGCAACACACATTAGTAATAATGTTTTGAACCGAATGCACATAACCATACTTATCCATTGCTAAGTTATTTAAAATAAAAGGGACAGGATTATCAAAAAGCAGGTATTTTCTTACATGCTTGAGTGCTTCCTTAGCCATCTTATGAGCTACTTTGTTTCCCTCCCGAAAGTTATGGCTGATCTTCGGTTGCTTCAGCTGGTGCATTAACCACCTGCAAATAACAATAGTCGAGTTGTAAGGGACACAATTAGAATATAATATTTTGATTACCTCTGTTGCGTCCGTTTCAACCACCAGTGGTGTATAACCATAAGTTGGAGCAATTGTAAGTCCTTCCTGTAGGGCTTCCAATTCAGCTTGAAGGGGTGAGCTTGAGGGACTGGAGTGTTGATAACCCATTATCCAGTTTCCCATATGGTCTCTGAATACTCCACCCATGCCTCCCATGTTTGTATTTTCTTTGAAGGCCCCATCTATGTTTAGCTTAAAATAATTTGGAGGTGGTTTGTGCCATGCAACCTCAATTGTATGGGAATGAACAGTTAAATGTTCCTTTGTGGTAAGGAGCTTATACTCTAAAGCTAGAGAAATTGCATGAGAGAGGTTGAAATTGGAGGTCATGTTAGAATAATTATTATTGTTTTTGTTTAACCAAAAACACCACAAGACAAATGGGTAAAGATCCTCCCATTTAAGGTAGGGGGAGGGGGTAAAATATTTTAGGACTAATATTATGGACCAGTGAGTGCCATTTTGACCGGGAGAAAAACTTAAACCTAATGTAGTCCAATAATTTTTAACAGCTTTACAAGCTGTGAAGATGTGTTCAATGGTTTCAGCTTCCCTTTTACACGCAGGACAAAGAGGATCAATGTTCAAACCTATATGTTTTAAGTATGAGCGAGTGGGCAGCCTATTATGAAGGCATTTCCACAACAAATATTTTATCTTGTTTGTGCAATGAGCATCCCAAATCCATTTAAAAATCCATCGAGTTAATATCATTTGATTGAATTATTTTGTAGCAAGTTTTTGACGAGAAAATACCATTTCCTGTTAATTCCCAGTAACAGGAGTCATGGGCATTATGGAGAGGGTGAATGGAGAGGATGACATTCTTAATGTGTTGAGGAAGCTCAAAGGGAATTTTTGATAAGCCCCAATTATTATTAGACCAAATATCTTTGATAGTAAGGTTATTACTGGAAAAAGTGAGTGGACCCTCTATTTGATTTCCTAGCAAAGAGGTTTTTGGGATCCAATTTGTTTCCTAGATGTTCATAGAAGAGTTGGTATGTGGGATCCATTTTAAATCTTTGTTGCAAACTTTCCACCCTTTTACTACACTTTTCCAAATAAAAGAAGTGGTATTTAAATTTTTGGATGAACCATAAAGTGAGGTAAGAATTTGAGACCAAGGAAGTTTGGATTTGTGTATGAGTCTCCATGAGAGGTTAGCTAGGGTTACTAGGTTTTTTTCCTTTGCTGAGTGGATGCCAAGCCCCCTTTTGTCCTTACCCTTTGTCAAAGTATCCCAAGAGACTAGGTGAATTTTTTTTAAGTCATAGTGGATCCCCATATGAAAGTTTTCTGGATTTTGTCAATGTGTTTGGTAATCCTAGTGGGCAGGTAGTTGTACTGCATGACGTGGTTATGAATACTGTTTAGGATTGCCGCTGCAAGAGTTGTCCTCCTTGCTATACTAAGAAAATTTGATTTCCAAGAAACCAATTTATTTGCCAATTTATCGAGGATGAACTGGTAATCGGAAGGTCTAGGCTTGGTGTTTGTAATTGGAAAATACTGGTATTTTCCAAAACTATTACTAATTTTCATATTAAAAGTTTTGTCAAAGCTTTTGAGGTATGAGTGGGGCAGTTTTTGGAGACAATGATTTTGGACTTTGACAAATTAATATTTTGGCTTGACAATTTGCAAAAAGAGTTCAGGTAATTGAGAATTGATTTAGGGGATTTTTTATCAATCTTGCACATTAGGGTGAGGTCATCTGCGTAAAATAGGTGGGATAATTGGCATTAGTTCCTTCCCATATTGACAGGAAACCAGGTACCAATATCTACTTGATGGTTGATTTGGATGGACATCATTTCCATACAAGGATCAATATATAAGGAGATAAAGGATCTCCCTGCCTAATACCTTTACTAGGAGAGAAGAAATCACTCTTACTACCATTAACTAACACAGCTATCTTGATGGTTGTGATACAATCCATAATTAAGGTAGAGATTTTTGGAGGGAAATTAAAATGACGAAGGGTTCTGTAAACAAAAAACCATTCTAATCGATCGAAAGCCTTTTCTAGGTCTATTTTCATAACTAGGTTAGCCTTTGCACCTTTTTGTTTGTGCATTTTAAGCATTAGTTCCTAAATTATAACAACATTGTCACTAGTACGTCTACCCTTGATGAAGCTAGCCTGGTAAGGGCAAATTAAATTTTCTAAAAAGCGTTTTAGTTTATTGGCTATGGTTTTTGAGATTATTTTATAAATTGTGTTACAAAGCCGAATAGGTCGGAAATTTTTCAAATTATTAGTGTTGGGAATTTTTGGGATAAGGCAGAGGCAAGTTTCATTTATCCCCTCTGGTAGTTTGCTTGATTCAAATGCTTGATGGCAAAGATTTGTGACAGAGGTTCTTAAAAGCTGCCAATACTTTTGAAAGAAGAACGGATGAAGACCATCTTGCCCGAGTGATTTAAAAGGTTTAAAATTGAAAATTGATTTTTTGAGATCTGACTGGGATATAAGTTACAAAATTTGTAACTAGGGGGGTCATTTTTAATAGCTGACCAGTCAGAGTAAATGTGGTCCGTAGTGAAAATTTGCTTAAAATAGTTGTGGGTGTGATCCATGATTTTCTGAGGATCATCTATCCAGTTACCCTCAATATCTTTGAAAAACACAATCTTATTAGTTCTATTATTTGTGGCACAAACGTGGAAGAATTTTGAGTTCATGTCCCCTTCATTGAGCCAACTTATTCTAGAACGTAACTTCCAAAAGTCTTCTTCGATTTTTAAGATATTGTCATAGTCAGACTTAGAGGATATTTTCTAGATTATTAAGGAAGGTGCTTAGACCATAGGAGCTAGACTTCTTTATCCCCTTTAATCTTGCCAGATTTTTTTTCTTTTTCTTAAAAAGGTCTCCAAAGGTTTTATTTTTCCATTCAATAATACGATTCTTAAAGTTTTTGGAGGCTACAACAATGTTGGAGTCAAGCCAGCACTCATTAACATTGTTACCAAATTCGGGGTGGCCACACCAATAAGATTCTAGTCTGAATGGTTTTGTGAGGGTGGTTGTTTGTTTTGGAATTAATTCTAGAAGGATAGGATTATGATCTGAATGGGTTTTTGGCAAATAAATTACAGATGCCTTTGGGAAAATCCTTATCCATTTGCTAGAACCTTGTCTAGTTTTTCCATAATACGGTTATTATTTATCTTATTGTGATTTGACCAGGTATATTTACAACCTTTAAAGCCCAGGTCCATTAGCTTACAGTAATTAATCATATTCTATAATTTAGCAGCCCTTCTTCTATTTATAGGGTTTCCCCCTAGCTTATCATCTGTTATAAGAACATCATTGAAATCTCCTTCCAGTAGCCAAGCACCTTTATAATCATTATAAATGTTTGTAATATTATCCCACATGTTATTTTTGTTTGAAATCTTTGTACTAGCATAAATGGATGTAAATAACCAAGATTGTTGAGAAGGGATTACCTCAAACAGTGCATGAATTTCATTGTTTCTTTTGACGAAATTGTTGACATGCACCAAGTTAGTATCCCACATCACAGCCATGCCACCTGATTGTCCCTCTGCTGGGACCTTTATCATATCCGAAAACCCAAATTCATTCATGAGACTACCATGGCTTGTCATCCTTGTTTCTAGTAAGGTGACCATGCAAGGGTGGTGAGTGGCTATTAACTCGTGAAAATTTCTCCTAAACTCAACATTATTCCCTCTGATATTCCAGATAATAATATTTTTAGCACGATTCATTGGGAGATGAGGGTGATGAGGTGGACCATTGGACTTGATTACTTGTGGGCATACTGGGTTCCTCCTTAAAGAGGGAACTAGAATCATGGCTAATTTCCCTATAGTGGGATCCTGGGGTGCCCTCATGTCCATTGTGCATTTGAATAGTAAAGGTGGACATGCTAGAATAAGCCTCTTCTCCCGCCTCTCCTCGAATAGATACACCTTTACTTCGTCTAGGTTTGAAGACTCTACCATTAGCTCCCGTATAAGATCTGTCTCCCCCTCCATTCCCCCCCCTCTGGATTTCCTATATCTTGTGGCATATGGGGTTAGGGGACCTGCTGGTCCATAGCTTCTTGTTGCATGGGATTCTGAGGCAGCTCCAGGGCATCAAGATTGGATTCAGGGCAATCGACTCTTGAAGAGGAAAGAAGGGAACCTCTAGACCCATGTTTTGAGGGAGATAAGGGTTTTGAGAGAAGTGGTGGGGTAGGTTCCATTGGGCACGCATGGATTGGACTAGGTTGTTGTGCATCCCGGGTGCTAGATAGAGGTTGCATGATGTTGTTCACCCAAATGTGATTCAGGTAGTTGCTCTCATTGACAGGTGGAGACCCTCGGACACAATTTGTGCTAGGAATTATGTGTTGTTAATGATTATTATACTCTCCTGCCCGTTGATATTCACTTGGAGTGATATCCCCCTCCCTATTAGACCTAGCTCTATTCAAGAGGTCGGGTGATGATTCTAAGTAAGAGGAGGTTGTGCATACACTATTGGGAGTGGGGGCATTTGTTGGGGGAAAGGAGGTAGGTTGTCCATGTGGAGTGCTCTTTGATTTGTGAGTATTTGGATTAGTCGGAATCTTCTCCGATTGCTTAATGGTATTCTTGGCACTTTTAGGAGAAGAGTCTTGGTAATTTAAGGGTTGAGGGGTTGTGATCGAGGGAATGATTACCTCTATTTGCATGTCACCGGAGAGGTTTAGCGTGTTAGGACATATAGAGGATTTTGCATGGGATTTGCTAGGCACGTGTATCGGAGTTTTTGCCATTTGTACTGAAGGGTGTATGTGGTTGGACGAGTTGGCTTCCGCATGCAAAGGAGTGTTAGCTAGTTGTAGGCTTATTTTGTTTCTAGGAGTGAAAACTAGGTTATGATGATTAGTGTTTGAAGGAGAGACCTCCAATTGGCTATTAGTATTAATTAGGGAGAAGTCTTGTTTATTAGCTAATTTGTCTTCTAGTGAATTTGGAAGATCATTGTCAGGATTTGCTTCTTGAGCCCAACTCAATGAATCTATATCGGAGTGGTTTTGGTTTTTTGGAAAGGTGGTATTGCCTAAAACCACAAGCTGAGGCTCAGAATTTAGAGGGCCTTTAGAAGCATCTATTATATTATTTTTGCGGGTGGTTTGGGAAGAAGAAAGATGGGTTTTTTGTTGTTCATTTTTAACAGAATCATAATTAAGAATTTTTGGAACATATTTAATTTTATGATTAGCAGAAAACTTACCCGTAGTGGAATTGATTAACCTGGCATTAATACCTGATTCTTGGAACTCTGAATCTACCTCGTTTGATTTTTGTTGTTGGATTCTCCTGCATCGTGGGAAGGTGACCGTTTGCCAACCTTCGTCCAGTGGATCTGGTGTTGATATTTTTGCTTTATTCGTTGGAGTAAGATTTGTTTCCTTCGTTGTAATCCCCTTCTCCTGACAATCTATGGTTTTATGGCCCAAGCGACCACATGATTTGCAAAGATAATTGTCCGCTTCATATTGGATTTGTTGCTTATGACTTCCGATAAAGATAACATTTTTTACTGGTTCGTCCATAGGCACTTCTACGCACACTCTAGCATACCTTCCTCTTAGGGATGAAGACGTACAGGCGTCTACCTTTAGGAGTTTTCCAATGTCTTTCCCTACTTTTTGTAAGATTTGGCTATCGTAGAATTCTGTAGGTAATTGAGGTAGCCTTACCCAAACAACCGTATGGCTTTGTTTTGCATTCTTGGCTACGAAATTTGGTTGCCAGCTCGATAAAAAGAATTCATAAATAAACCATGGCCCGTCTTGGAGGATATGGCTCATGCTACCTTCATTTTGAAGTTTGGCAATGTAGTAATCGTTACCCAAGTCTATGAGGGGGAAATTTTCTTTGATTTTCCATAGTTCCTGAATTTTTTGTTTCAAAATTTGATGAAGGATTCTTTTTCCATGTAGTTTGATTATTAGAGAGTATTTCCAGGGATGGCATATTCTTTGCTTGTCTTCAAGTGTGATAGTAACGGAGAGGACTAGGTTTTCGTGGTCTTCTTTTGAATGTGGGGCAGACTCATCCTCTTGAATATCCATTGGTAGGGTGAGGGAAGATAGAGGGTCCATGGAGAGATAAATTTGTTCCCCATTTTCAACTAGTTTTTCTTTAAAAGTAGCTGGAATGGAATCGATTAGGTTTCCCATGTTGTTTTGATCCCTAGATGAATTACTAGGTATTAAATTATCCAGTGGTTTCAGGGGAATTTTTGTGTTTTCTAGGTTGGAAGGGTCTGAACCCATGGTTCTTTTGAGTGTGAGACAGAAGTTTGGGAGAGGGAAAGTTAGAGAGATGGGAGAGCTTCTCTCTCTTCAAAAGTTCTTTTGCCTGAACCTAAAAGCATTCTTGGAATAGCCCATGTTCCTTTTCGTGATGTTGGAATTTTGCGACTTAAAAAGCAGGGAACATGGACTACTTCATAGTAACTCTCTAGAAAAGCCCAAAATAAAATGCACAAAAGTTTCTTCACATTACAAATACCCGTCTCATTTTCACTAAAATATTGTGCAACAGTGCATGTTAAAATCAGTATCACTAAAATATTGCCCGATGCATATGTTGGTGGGAGGTAGCAGATACCCAATAGAACTAGTTGAGGTGCGCACAAGCTTGCCCGGACACCACTGTTATCAAAGGGCAGTCCGGTGTACGAAGCATTCTGCGTTTACACAGGGTCCGGGGAAGGATCACATCCTAATAGGGTGTAATATAGGCAGTATACCCTAATGCAAGCATCAATGGCTAATTGCACGGCTCGATCCCGTGACCATAGGGTCACTCGGAGACACCATCGTTATCAAAAAAAAAAAAAAAAAATCTTGAAAATAACCTCTCTGCAATCCACTTCAGTGTTTACCTGGACGTGTATGAACAACATGTATTGAAAAACCAACATCTAGGCTGTTTTTTGGCTAACGGAAGTACCCCTTTCCCTCAAATGTTTCCAAAACAACACCATGCAAATCCAACTTCCTGAAGGTTTATCTTTCTACGATCCATTTAAGCATTGGCCAACAACAGCAACAACAACAACAATCCGGTATAATCCCACCAGTGTAGTGTGTACATAGATCTTACCTTTACCATGGGTAGAGAGGCTGCTTCAGATAGACCCTCGGTATCCCTCCCTTCAAGAACTCCCCACCTTGCTCTTGGGGTGACTCGAACTCACAACCTATTGGTTGGAAGTGGAGGGTGCTCACTACTAGAGCAACCCACTCTTGGCCAGATAGAGGGAAAATTATAGCTTTTGAAAAAATGGAAAAAGAATCAATTGACCCAAAAAACTAGAAACCAATTTCTTTTTCATTGCAAATAGATTCTTATGAAGTTCACATAGTAGCAAAGCATCTGCTTGTATTCTAACACATCAGCATCAACATTGCTGAAATGAAAAAATGCAATCTAGAAGGGATGTTAAGACGACGAAGGTTTTGAGAACTTACCCCAATGAATGAATGAAATGTCGGCGAGCCCACATCAATGTGTGAGCCCTTTTTTCCCAATGTGCTGACATGCCCCTTGCATTGTCCCATTAAAATTTTTCAAGAATTATGTTTTGCCCTGCTCCGCCTGCTTAAATGTTCCCATGGCCTACCCTGGGTTTTCCATTCCTTTCCCTGCCCCATTGCCATCCCTATTCTGGGATCTATTACTCCATAAATCATGTGTGGCAGTATTGCTTATTTTAGTTTTCCTTTTTTTGGGTGGGGGCGATTGGATGGTGGTGGGAGTAGGAGGAGTTCTCTTAGCTTGATGAGTTTGTTTTCAAAAGAAATGATAGCCGCAATGACTTTTAGTTTACCTGTTAAATTGGTATTTCAGATTTGTCAACTAAGAAGTGTGTGCCATGCAACACAAAGGATTTGAGGTCTATGAGTGAAGAAGCTGCGAACCAGTTGATGTGGCAGGTTTGAAATTTATAATGTTTTCATGTAGACATAGAGGGTGTTTGGATTGGCTTTTAAGCTCAACTAGTAGGTTTGAAATTTATAATGTTTTCATGTAGACATAGAGGGTGTTTGGATTGGCTTTTAAGCTGGTCAAATTAGCTTTTAAGTTCTTTTTAACCTTTTTCAGTATTTGGCAAAGTTAAAAAGTGATTAAAATAAGTTAAAAACTTCTTAAAACAAGTCAAAAGCAGTAAGCTGGACAATCGCAACTTATTGCTTTTTGGCTTAAAAACTATTTCTGCTAAAAAGCCAATTTTTTTAAGCCACTCAAAACGGGCTCATAGTCCTTTACATTTTGCTAACATTCGTTTGTGCAGGTGACAGGTTGGGATTTGCTGAATGATGGTGGCACACTAAAGCTGCATAGATCCTGGAAAGTCAAGACTTTCAGCAAAGGATTAGAGTTCTTTCAAGAGGTAGCAAATGTTGCAGAAGCTGAAGGTATATGTACTCTCGTCAACCTTTCTTATGGATGCACTATCCAGTTGTTACTATTTGATGTATCTCGTACCGTGAGCTTACCTTTCATTAGACTTGTTTTACATTTTCTCTGTTGTGCACAATGTGTTGTTTTACTTGTTTTATTTAATTTCTTTTCCTTTTGCTTTTGACAGCAAGCTGCCTACACTATAAAATTCTGGAATTTTGAGTCTTCATAATCTAGCTTGTCATTTATTAGCTAAGTTGCGCGGACTCTTCGATTTTGATGCCGTCCCCGTCCCGATACGAGACCGGGACGGGAGCGGGATACGTCCCGGATACGGTCAACTGACTTCAGACACTTTGACCGGAGTCCATCGACAAATTTGGGAGAAAAATTGAGATTTTGATTTCTCAAAATAAAAAATAAAACAGATTTAGGAGAATGAAAGAATAATGTCCATCTTGGAGAGTGAAAGATTGATTCTACAATATTTATGTAAGTTTTTCACAGAATATCTCTCAAAATTTACAATATTTTTATAGCTCTATTTTTTATTAGCCGAATCCCCGCACCCGTATCCATATCCGGATCCGCACCCCCGAATCTTAAAATTTTGATTTTGCCGAATCCGATACTCGGATCCGTCCCGTATCAGATACCTGCACCCAAGTCCGAGCAACTTAGTTTATTAGTACAGTTGCTGCCTCATTACAAAATGAGAGATGAAAAAGGAAAGAGCTGGCTTTAATCTTTTGATCCATTTTTGTCAATTCCATGAATCTCCTCCACGTTCTGCTTCTTCTCAGCTGAAGACCTGACCTAAATTTGCTGCCCATAACAGTCAACAGAAGAAATAGACCTCTCTGCTGTGTTGACATAACACCAGCACTTTAGTTATCCTCATCTTCAGTTTACTTTGGGCACGGAAATAGCACTTGTGAAAGAACGCATAAGGGACCCCATTACTGCTGCATCAGGTACCTTTCGGTATCTGGTTTTACTACCTCTGCCAATTGATGTGTGACTTGAGAGAGAAATTATCAATATCACTTCCATGTGTGAAATATCAGAAACCTGGTTATCTTTCAAAGCCCGAAGTAACTCCACCTACCAGAGCACTGCCAGCCAATCTCTTTAACGAACTTTGGCAGCCTAATTTAGTTGGCAGCCTAATTTAGTAATGTTAATAACTTGTTCTGCATCAAGGGTCTAATATTGGTTTCAATACTGAACTTCCTTTAGAACATGCAGATGTTACTAAAAATCAAAGTACTGTTGGTGGTGTATCAGCTAAAAGGGGATATGGAAATATTATTGAAGGGATAGACGAAAGTTTGCATGAGGAAGATGTTTAAAAAAATGATTTCACTCTTTATTATGAGTTGTGGAATGAGGCTATTGCAATGTGTCCACATTTGATTTTGGGAGTTCAAAGTCTCTTATAATGACTCTGGCTTGTCATTCCAAGTTGACTTGTAGTTTCTTTTGGTCTTCTAATTAGCGTTTCCTGAGTCGTTTTTTTTTTCTACTTTTTATTTATGGAAAATGTTCACAAACACTGTATTCTCATCATTGTTGGATGGTGATTTTAAGTTAGGAAGTTGTGTTATTTATGCAGGTCATCATCCAGATCTTCATCTCGTTGGGTGGAATAATGTGATAATTGACATCTGGACGCATTCTGTGGGTAAGAAATGTCATTTGAACAATTTTCACTCTATTTATTTTTCCTCTCTTTTTTTTTTTATGGTTGATAAGGTCTATTTATTTTTCATCAGCATTTGGAAGCACAAGTTTGTTAGCTATACTTTCTAGGATAAGTCTATTGCTGATCTAAGTATAAACTAATGCAATTCATGAAGACTTTTCTGTTTTATTTGATGAGCTCATTAGAACAAAGGCGGATCCAACTAATTGACACTGGGTTCAATTGAATCCATAACTTTTGATACAAAACATAAATTTGTATGTAAAAGTTCACTAGAATTGCAATAAATAGTAGATATGAACCCATAATTTTAAAAATACAATGGGTTCATGGTAAGAACCTTAAAGGCTGAACCAATAGAGTTTAAATTTAGAACTCTCCTACAAAGATGATGGATGACTTAGCATTGAACTAGCTACTTTATATCAGTTACTGGCTTTATGTGATTCCTTGACCAGTGTACTCCTTTAGTTAGATGATCGAATGTCTATGAACTAATAAGATTTTTGAAAAAATTTCTGTTTGATATGCGAAGGGGAGCCTTAGCGTAACTGGTAAAGTTGCTGCCTTGTGACCAGAAGGTCACGTGTTCGAGTCGTGGAAACAGCTTCTTGCAGAAATGCAGGGTAAGGCTGCGTACAATAGACCCTTGTGGTCCGGCCTTTTTCCGGATTATAGCAGGAGCTTAGTGCACCGGGCTGCCTTTTTTCTGTTTGATATGCACTGAACTGTTTGGATATGACGTCATTTTAAATGTTGACAAGTTGTTTTTCATGGAAAGCTGAAGTGTTTAATTTTTGATAATGGCTGCAGGTGGACTCACAGAAAATGATTTCATACTTGCTGCCAAAATTAATGGGCTTGACCTACAGCACCTTCTCAGCAAGAAAACCACCAAATCAGCACAAAGCAGTGCCTAATCTTCCAAATTTAGGGTTGTATTATGGTAGTAGTTTGTCTCATACTAGATATCATCAACGTTTGAGCTAAACCTTTGTTACCAAAGCATTGAAATTTTATAGGACATGCCTCTTTCCAATACTAATCACTAAACTTTAGCAGTGTGAATCTGCGAAACAATACTCCATTTGATCCACTTTAATTGATTTTTTAGTTATTTTTACACATATTAAGGAGTCATATTTTAATATTAATTAACAATAAAATCGACCATATTAGCATTTATTATCTCTTTAAGTATGTTCATTGAAAATATAATAAATACTCCGAGATTTTTTACTCCAAGTGTAATTTTGAAAAAAAAAAGTTAATTTTTTTATATCTAAAAATTTAACTATTGTGGTCTAAAAAAAGCTATAAAATTAATTAAAGTGAATAGGAGGGATAAAATTAGTGTACATTGAGATGAAGAAAGTAATCTCTTTAAGAACTGAGTGATAAAATATTGAAATTATCAACCGCCATCGCCAGCCTCCACTAATTACGATTTAGAACCATTATTGTCAACTACTACTATTGTCAGCTTCAACACCACTAAGTTTTAGTGGTTCATCAAAGAAATAATTGATGTAACATCAATAAATCAATTTTTCTTGCAGATGATATTTTTATTATATATTTATTGGTTTCTAATTAAAAAATTATACACATCAGATGTTGCAAATTAAAAAGAAGTGTTAATTATTTAGTTTTCAATCTAGATATAACATCTTTATAATTAAATGTGTGTTCAAACTCATATATTTTTAGAAGAAGAGACAGGACTTTAGAATCTGTCACGATCCAAAATCCCAACTAGTCGTGATGGTTCCTAACACACTTGCTAGACAAGCCAGACATAACAATAATGAACCAAAATAGCGGAAATGACAGAACTAACATCGGTCTAAAACCTTAACATAGCATAATAATACCAATACATGATAAATTTCACATAACTGGTAAATACAGAGTCATGAGTTCTAAAACGGAAAAAGACAAGTCTAAAAGCTAAATGTCATTGCTGTCTGAAATAAAGACAACGACACAATATGGAAAGAGACACCAAACTGCAGTCGAGAATGCAACTCTACCTCGTCTCTCGATGATTAACTCAGCTAGCAAACACCGCTTCTAGTGACTGGGTCCGACACCTAAATCTGCACAATTAAGTGCAGAGTATAGCATGAGTACAATCGACCTCATGTACTCAACAAGTACTCTAGCTAACCTCGACAAGGTAAAAGCAACAAGAATTATAAAAGATACTTGCTATAACCTGTACAGTTCATAAATTTAACAAGTACAAAACAATAATAATATCAAATCATGAAATCACGGATAAAATCACCTTGGTGCCCAAAATTATTCAAGTATTCCGCTTAGTCAATGATCTAGCATATAAAGATGATATGAAAATAAATCAGATAAATAATCATGGAAATTGCAAGTAAAGATGAAATGCAATAACCAAAAAATATTGGCTAGATTTTCCTCCAAATTTCCAACACAGTACCAAACTACTGATTAGTTTTCCTCAATCCATGTGTACACCATCAAGAGAGAAACATGAGAGGGTGATTCTAGGCGGATCATTTCATATCCACACGTTACACGTACAATTCACGTGCTGCACGGACAACTTATGTGCTAATAATATCAACCGCACAGACAACTCACATGTTCCACAGATAACTCACGTGCTGTACGGACAACTCACGTACTAATAATACCAACCGCACACACAACACACGTGCCAATAATCACAGTCCGCCTGGCGTGGTCACAAACTACCAGTCTTGATCATATCACACAAAATCAGATATACAAGAATGCATATACATGATCAATGAATTTCAGGTATCATACTCCTGGACTAGTATAGACTACATGCTATGGTGGAGGCATGTGCAATATGTACTATCATAGCTCAATCCGACAATTTCATCAAGAAGTAGCAGTTTATCACATTCAATCAAGAGAATAACCTCAGCGTAACCTCAAATGTGGTACAAATAATTCATAGAAGGGGTACAATTAGGAGGGGCATCGCAACATAAATCTTAAAATTCAAATCAAGGTATATCATAGTCTAAGAACTACGCCGAGCATGAAATAGTACCCCGATGCATGCATATGGGATCCATCCCACACATATGCGCCACTTATAGCACGTAGCTATCACAAATAACTCAGGCAACTAGTGCCTCAACCAAGTTTAGGTAAGATACTTACCTCAAGCAAGCCAAATCACTCTTCTAACAAGCCCTTCTTGATTGAATCAACCTCTTGACGACCCGAATCTAGCCAAATGAAATTAATATAGTCAATAAAAGTCATAGGAATTGATTCCAATTATAAGGCTAAGATCTTTAACTAAAATCAAAAAGTCAATGCAAAACGTCATCCCCGGGACCGCACCTCAGAACGCGAACAAGCTCACAAATTTTGAACACCCATTCGATTACGAATCCAACCATACCAATTTCATCCAATTCCAACCTCGAATCGACCTTCAAATCCTCAATTTATAATTTATAAAAGTTTTTACTAAAATCTTCAATTTACCAATTAAATGCTAAAACTAAGGACGAAATCATGAAATATAAACAAATTCGAGTCAAAAATACTTATCCCAATCCAAATGTAAGGCCTCATAAAATTTTGCCTAAAACCCAAGGTTTCGTGGTGTCGAGGTAAGCTAATTTGTTTGAGGATTGTAGAAATGCTCTCCGCGGTACGGACTTTTTGGGTTGTAAATTACGTAGGGGAGTTGAAAGGAAAAGTTTGTAGAACGTGGCATTTATGCAGTCCACTATGTGATCGTAGAATTATTTTGTGGGCCGCAGATCGATCGCGAAGTGAAGCAGAAATTGAGCCAAGTTTGAGGACCATTATGCGGCCGCATAACGATTTCCTGGACTGCACAACCCATCACAGATCCAGAACGAAAAATTTCAAAGGGAACTCTGCGGTGCATTGTGCGACCACAAAACTAGTCTGCGGTCCGCAGACCTGACCCGAGCATCCCAAATTTGGAGAGTGATTTTTACGGTCCCTTATGTGAATCGCATACCTGTTTTGCGGTACACACTGCGATCGGAGAGTTGGAATTGGAGGGTCCATTTTCTGATTTTATAACCCGACCCTATTTCGATATATCGACGTTAAGGACCAATTGTTAAGAGAAAATATGATATTTCTAGAGAGAGGAACTGCCATAGAGTGAGAGGAGAAGTCCCTAAGCTAATTGTTCACCAATCCTTGCTCAAAAGTTGGAGAATCCACAAAGAAAACTCACAAGTTCTTCATCCAAGAGGTAAGGTTCCATACCCCTAGTTTTCAATTTTCAATTTGGAGTAGAAGATGGGTAATGGGGAGTGTGATTCTTGTGTGAGAGAGTGTTATTTATGCATACATGTACTATCAAGGAGTGTGGGGAGGTTGTTGAGATCAAATGAGTAGACTTTGGGTTGTGGGATGAAGGAATCCACCTTAGGAGGACATTGAAATCATACTTCCCACTTAATATTTGATAAAATGCTCAAATTAGCTGAAACCACGAATACCTTCCTAATTTGTGTTCAATTTTGTTATATTTCTGAATAGATCGAGGTTGCTAGTATCTCGGATCATTTTAGTAGTTTAACGAAGCTTAAGGCGAGGTATGTTGGTTAAACTTCTCTCTTATAATTGAATCCCACGATGTTCTTGTAAGCCCCAAGTTGTTCATTATAAATTTGACAATTTCGAATAAGCTTTGTGTCGAAAGATGTATGTTCAAAATGTGCGAATGCTTTTATCTTAGTGTGTTATCCTTCGGGAATGTGATATAAGTATGGGCTATGTTTCAACATGTTATGACTTCAAGTCATGTTTCAAATGAAAGTTATTATGTCGACTTGTGTAAGAAATCTCATTTTGCATAATATTCTTATTTGCTCGCATGTGCACTTAAAGTCTTGAATAAAATGACTTGTTGTTGATAATCCATGATGATGTTTGAATGTGAAAGAGTGAGCATGAAATATGAAATATGGCCAACGTGCCAAGAATGATATTACATTTGGGGCTGCTAGTGCCAATGAAATGAAGAGACGTGTAAAAGATATTGAAATGAGTTGTAAACCCTTTAAATAATAAACACTTTGGGAGTATACTTAGTTACCGAGGAAGGATAGGTTGAAATAACCTAACCCCGAAACTACACGTGCCGGTGTAGGAGTGGATTGTGATTATTCCCTGTATACGGTAAAATAGGAGGGTCCAATTTTCCATCGTTACGATGCCTCGAAAGCATGTCTCGGAGGCTCAAGACCATGGTCGAGTTTCATCCCTCGAGGTCCATCGACGCTCGACCTCGGATCAGTATGGACCGACGGTTACAGAGAGAAAGTGGGGGGTTCCCAAGGCGTGTAGCTAGAGCCGACAAAGTCTGTCAGGCTAGTCTAAGCCCGCATCATGGCATTAACTAGCTGTCCCATCTCCATATTTTTGTAATAAATGTATTTGTACTATGTTGGGATTACCCCTCATATATAAATGGGATCCTTGTCATTTTGTAAACATTTGATGCTCAATACTAAAAACTCAAGAATACTCTCTCTGCTCTCTAACATATTCTCTTGATCTCATTGCTTCATTTATTGCTTATATTCATTGTGTGCTATTTATTGTTCTTCATTTATTACTTATTATTGGCCATAAAGAGCTGTCATTGATTTATTTATAACTGTTAGTCTCCATCGACTACCCTTGGCGGGGAATTCGACTCGACCCCGAGGCCCCAAATAAGCAAGTTTGAGGCCCCGATCGACAGCCACTCGGTTTGGTTAATGACGCCCCCCCTTTTTCCTTCACGGAATCGGGTTTATGACATTTTGGTTGGGACAACTCTTTCCTATTGGAAAAGGGGGTTTGCATTTTGAAGAGTCGCCACCTAACGATTTAAGGTGCGTTAGGGCACCTATAGGGTTCATTTATAACTACATTTGGTAACTAGAGACAGGGTAAGTGCTTGAAATTATTCCAAGGGGAAGTTGTTAGGCACCCCTCAGGATCCACTAGTGTAGTTCCCGGCCAAACAGTTTTTGTGAATTTGTACAATTAGCAAATAAAAAAGTATGGCTCAAATATTAGGGGATTTAAGTTTAAGAA